ATGGCAGCGGCTGGCCGCCGATCCTTCATCAGCTCGACCTAAAAACCCGCTGACGCATCCACCAGCGGAGCGGGAGTTCGCTCTGATGATGACGTTGACGGTGGTGTTGCAGCAAACTCGCGCCAGCGGTAGTTCTCCTTGTCGAGCTCGGACATAATGGATTTGGCCGTAGTTGCATCGTTGTAGGCAGCGAGGATGTAGCGGAATCCGCGACGATTTCGAAGGACCTTGGTCTCGTCCGCTCGCAGGATCTTGAGAGCTTCTTCTTGGTTACGCACCGCTCGGCCGGTGATGTAGTAGACGGCGGGAAATGTTTTGGCCCATTCGCTCAGTGTAGGTCGTGAGATTGGTGCAGAGCCCGAGTTAGGCCGTTGGGCGAGAGTCCGAGAAGAGGATGCTTGGGCCGGTTCCACGACAGATCGGATGTTGTCGGCCTTATGAGTCGTCGGCTGGCATATGATTGTGGCTTCGTCCGACGTACGACATATGGATCTTATGACGTCGCAGACGGAAGGTTTGTCACCGGTTGCGTTCTCGAAGTCGAGGAGAGTCTCCCAGTCCTCACTGTCGTCGTCGTGGTCGGCATATCGTCGTATACGGTGGATGACTTTTTCCACGATAGCTGGGGGCAATCGGCCAATGATTTGCCTGGTAAGGTTTCTTCTCTCAGCTGAGTCGTTGTGGTATATGTCGCAGAAGATAAAGTACGCTTCGGACGCGGCGAGGAGATACTGGTCGATCTGACGGGCCGATTGGAACCACGTTCGCCAACTTCTGTTAGGACGGTTCTGTCGAAGATCCCAATTGAAGTCGAAGTATCTCGAGAAGTTGAGCTCCCTGTTCGAGCAGCCGGAGCAGCCGATTGAGCTGCTTGGTGCACTGGCTTCACTTCAGAGTTCGTGAGGGTACCGATAAACTTCGTCATTACCGACCGGCGGACCTCGGGGTTCACTTGGATGGGGCCCGAAGTGCTCCTCGTTGCCGCACCAGCTTCTACGAGGGTGTCCTCCACGTCGTCATAGTGTACCTTGAGGTAAGCTGAGTCGATGAGGTTTGGCAGGACGAGCTTGGTCACTTCAGCGGCGGTACATCTCGTAGCTGCCCTGCGGGTTGGAGCTTCTGGGAAATCAGGCTGGCGAAAAGAGGAGGTGTTTGCCGCCGATCCGTCGTTCCGTCTCAAGAGATTACTGGAGTCTCCCTGGACGTTGAATCCGGTTGACCCTGCTGGCGTAAGCAGTGGTGTCGTTGGTGGGCTCGTCGATGTCGCTTCTTCATAGGCTCGTTCTGCCGCTGTTGCTTGTTGATCGGCTTCGACGTATGCTCGAGCGAGTTCCTCTTCTTGAGCTTCCAAGACCGCCAGGACATTCTCGTCGTCTTCGTCGTTGGTACAGAGATTCTTGATCCTTTCTCGGACATCAGATAGTCGTGTGAATGCTCGTGTACGGCTCTGGCGGGCTCGGGTTCGGGCTTGACGGAGAGTTTGTAGTTCATCAGGTGTCGCCATATGACTAACCCAAGTCGTAGTGTAAGTTAGCCAATGTAAGGTATATAAAGAGCAATGGGAGACGGGGTTGGATTGAGAGGCGTCGCGTCTCCGCGTCACGTCTCACGTCACGTCACGTCTCACGTCACGGGCGTGCGCTACCGTATTCGACGTGCGCGTGTGGATCGCGAGTAGCGACAAATGGATGTCCGCCCCGATGAGGAAATTCGCTTGTGGTAAATCACCTTCCTCCTGGAAGCACATAGGGCAATCTTTCGGGAGTCTATCTAGAGCAGCTGCAGCATCTGCGTCATGCTTGTCGAGACGTGGAGGCTCAGATTCAGGTTCTGGAAGATCGTCGAGCGAGTGAGCGGGAATAAATACCTGAAAATTTCCGAGTGGAAACGGCGTTTTTCATCAGATTCAAACACTTCTATCGCAATGTATTTTCAATATAAATTGTACAATACTTTAATACAATCAATTTTATAATGTCATCATACTGCTCGGCAATCAGTGCTTGCCAAGAATGTCGAACTACTAGGTATACAGCGGATCACACATGAATTCCACGCCATGAAATACATGAGAACAATTCCTGCCAGGTATTACTTGACATCCTTCCCACTGGAGCAGATCCATAGTTTTTTTATAATATAACATGACGTCCCCAGAATTCTCATCTCGTTGTAACTGAAATACGCGAATGCAATGTACTCAGTGTCTCTGAGTCAGTGTATCATAAACTGTGTATGCGCCTGGGAAGAGAAAAAGGTGTAGGCGTCCCACTACTCGGAACGAATAAGCGGTGGTGATTCCTTTAATTGTTGGTATTCTGCTATCGAACCGCTTCTTCCAGTCCCGGATGTGATACATTGGTGAGGCCTTCGTCTTCAAGCACTCTCTGTGCATCGGTGTATCAAGAACCTGAACAGAAAGGGAGAATCGTCTGCGTGAGAATGATTCGAGGCGAAAGAGAGTAGAACCAAGAGCTATCTTGTGGGTCTAGATTGCACGTATTGAAAAA